GCCAGAAGTTTTTTGGGGGTCGCCAAATATTTATGAAATGCATTATGCCTGCATGCTACATACCATACAGTGTACATATAAAGAGTGAAGTGCCGTCACTCACTGTTTAATTGCAATTTCATGCAGAAGATTCAAGGATTTTCCTGAAAACGATCTTGGTTGGATTCGTGATCCATTTTCCTACGACATATGCAGTTCAACTCTTCAAATTAGTGAGAAAGAGCAATTGATAGATTTAATTAGTGATTATACTCTTCGAAATCAATTTAAGACTCAGCCTTGCCAAAAATTTTGGCTATCCGTGGAAAAGCAATATCCCGTTTTATGCAAGAATGCCATCAGGGTTTTAATACAATTTGCATCAACGTATTTATGTGAAACTGGATTTAGCAAACTAGTTTCAATAAAAACTAAATACCGCTCGCGTTTAAACCTTGAAGATGATATGCGAATTGCAATTAGCAACATACATCCAAACATCGATGAGATAATTAGAAACTTGCAGCCACATACATCTCATTAAAGGGAAATATACTGATTTTTATGTTATACAAAAAGTATTTTCTTAAAATTATAAATAAAATTAATATGAGTCAGATATGATGATGTTTTTATTTGATGAAACGAAAGAAATGCACGAAATATACATCGTATTTGTGAACATTTATCTCTAGGGGGTCGCCAAAAATTTTCTCTCTACAAAAGGGGTCGCAGTCGAAAAAAGTTTGCACACCATGGGATTAGATCATAGGTTGGTAATCTATGGCAAATGAAATAATTTTTAATTGCATGTAGCAGGTTTTAGGCTCATAGTACAGAAAAACATGAGCATTGAAAAGTAATGCTGAAATATTATATTCATAATTAATTTGTTAACAGTTCACAACAATCTTCTGTCCATTTTGGAATTCCATTTATTGTGTGTAGATCACAATATCTTTATTAGCACATTACTGACAGATTAAACTTCAAAGTTCATAAAATTTTAAGTTTGTGATGTGTAACATGAGCTACATAATAGAACACAATAGAAAAGTAATTTATAAGGTTATCTTTTGTTGCTCTTTCATAGTTATTTACTACGATAACAGTTATTGACTAAATAAGATGCAACAGAAATAGTAATTTGTTTTTCATAAAATCTATTTGTGATTAAAGGATACAAATATGTAATGCATATTCTTTCTTCAAAATTATATACTGTCCTAAAGGGTACTTTATTTTTATTAATGGCATCAATAATTCATTAATGAAAAGTTTATTAATTTATTTCTGATTTTAAAAATGGTTAAGTTAGAATAGATTGTTCTTAAATCTACTAGGTATGATACAATGGTTACAACCAGTATACCATGGCACAACAGCTGATAACCACTGCTTAGAGTTTTCTTCCAAACTTGTTCAAATTACAATCAAATCAATTTCTTTTTAAATCAATTTATATAATCAGCTGTTTTACAAAATAATTTTATCAGAATAGAATTTTATATATATACAGTGGTGCCTCGTATAACATACTTTATCCGTTTCAGGTGCATGTCCGTTAAGTGAAAAGTCCATTATACGAAACCCATTTTCCCATAGAAATACATGTTAAAACATATAATTTGTTCCGCAGTATAAAATAACCATACTGTACCATGAAAAAAATGAAAATGGAGCAGTCACCAATTATGCCGGGTAGTCAGATGTTGTGAGGAGGAGGTGGAGGAACACTTACTTCACACATTCATACAGATACAGACTTTTTACATATTGCAGCAGGTCTCTTTTTATTATTTTTTAATCGGAGTCAGATTCAGGAGAGGCTACCGGAGCTTGCAGGGTCAACTCCTCTTGTTCCATTCTTTGTTTTTTGGCAGCTTGCTTCTTGAAAAACCATGTCCAAGGTGGTCTGTTTCTCTCTCTTCTTCAACACCTGTCGGAAATGACGGGCAAGAGTGTCATTGTAGAGATCATTGATCCTGTTGGCCTCAGCTATGTTTGGATAGTGAGTGTTGGTAAACTCCTGAACCTCTCCCCATTTGACAAGGNATACGAATAATTCTTTATTAATTAAGATCACTAAACACTTCTACGAGCTACTCTCGCTCCGTTTGTTTTTTACAACCTCTTTTCGTCCCGCCACCTCGGCATCTACACAATTACATTTCGTTTATTTGAATCGTCAACATATACTGTATTACATTACATTTAATGTTTATTTAAATCATCAACATATATTACATTACATTTCTACTTCAGATATACTAATAATACATTCTAATAATACTAATATATCCTAAAAATAGCAGATTGTCATTAGCAACGGCAAAAGAGTGGAAACATCATTCGCACTTGTTCGCATAAAGATCGTTGTTCGCCTCACGTAACTGCCGAATGAAAAGTCCGTTGTTCGCAGCCAGTCGTTGCTCGAGTCACGTAACGGCTAAACAGAAAGTCCGTTATTTGCAGGTCCGTTATTCGAGGCGTATGTTATACGAGAGACCACTGTATATATAACATTTCAAATTATTCTTTTATTCATTTAAAGCAGTGATAAGAGTCACTGGCTTAATATAGTCTGGTAAGAAAGATTACAACACTTTTATTTTTAAAAATTCTTATATAAAAGACAATTTTTGCTATATAGAAATCTATAACAATTTTACTTTTTTAGCATATATGTAATTATAATCTAATATATTTAAAGTTGATATAATTATTGTTAATCATAAATAAATGTTATATTGATTTAATTAATTATTAATATAAGTTATTTGTTTCACATAAATAGTTTTAAAATACAGTTGAACTTTTTTTTTCAGCACATCATGAAAACAATTGCTTTCAAGAAAAAACTGTTAATAGTCATGAAGAACTGTGAATAAGAGTACTTACAGTATTTTTGAAGTAATCTTTTGATATTGTTTGAAATTTTCATTTAATATTGATATGCTTATATATCATTTATAATATGATACAATTGCAAAAATCTTTTACTTAGTCAATTTATAATTTGTATTGCATTTTTTTATCAGAAGTGAGGCCAAAGTATATTTTACAATTATTGCTCTCTTTTATACAGGATTCCATCATATTCAATACATATTTTATATACTTTTTCATTGAGAAATATGCAAATGAATAATTGTATATGTTTAGTAAATAAAGTGTTTTACAATTTTTTTTTGCTATATAAATGTTTCATTGTGCCATAGAAAGGGAAAGTAATCATTTTGTTAGCTGTAAAGTTTCTTCATCAATAAAGAGTAAACAGTTAGTTTCAAAGTTCATAATATATATTAAAGAATATAGGCAACTGGAAATATTTGGATACAGTATATATATACTGTATATTTCTTATTACTTTAAATGAAATTCAGTCAATATCTTGATTATAAAAAAATTAAATGTTATATACAGTGGAACTTTATTCAACTCGAACAGAACCTGGCCCAATCCAGATGACAAATAACAGATAATCTAGAAGACTTTTAACAATACAAATAACACAGTTTATATACATTTTATTTTATATTTCTAATCTCTTCTCCATTGTAACAACCACTTTTTTCATTTAGACATCATTTTCAGGTGTTTGCTTTACTTCACAAAAGATTGAATGTGGCTGAAAGTCTGCAAAACAATAGTGACAGTGGGTATTGAATGAATAATAACTTGTGAGGTTGCAAATGATAGACTTATTAATTAATATCTTGACAGTCATGAGCAGCCCAACATTTTTATTCAACAGAAAAGTAGCAGCTTTTTATAATTGAAAATCTTAAAAGATTAGAAAAAAATTAGATATTAAGTAAACTCAAAGAATACTTCCAAGGAATGCATAACAATCAACATCATATTCCAATTCATAGAAACCAAATTTATTCTTGCAAGCTTGCAATGTTACACTTAGGCAAGAATGTACTTAGGAGATTTTTGATTTTATAGGTTTTTCCATATGTCTATCTTTCATAATCCATATAAACTGACAATCCATATTAATTCCACTGTATTATTATAATATTTAGGCTATAAAATTTAATTGAATATTAAACATTAAATAAAATATTAAAAAATCAAAACTTATCTATTTGGGTTTTTAAGAACTATAAAAAATTTTTTAAATCAAAATTTACTTACTAAATTGTTTTATAAGTTACATAAGTTAACAAGGATAAAACAAAAATTAATATTATATTACTTTATATGATAAAACAAATACTGTACTATGCTTTAAAACTTTTTATTATATAGTATTTAAAAATATTGGCTAACATGCTATTAAAACAGTGTGTGTGTTACCATATGCATTATATATTATAATAATAATTATGAATTATAAGTAAGTTTATAAATTATTGTAGGTATAGAGTAATAATCCAAATAACAAACTTCAAAAATTGAAGTTATTTATATATATTTAAACAAAAATATGTATATATAAGTAATAGATATGTATTATATTAATGGTGCGGTTTTTTTATATATTCTTTTGAATGTCAATTTTTTAAAAAAATTATTTCTTCAAAAAATTGATGAAACATCACAGGTTAGATCTAAAGAAGTATACGAACGTTTTTTTGTCTGGACCACATTTTATCAGAGACAAAACTTCTGAGTGAAAGAATAAAGAAGATAACACTCAGAAGTTTTGTCTCTGATAAAATGCAGTCCAGACAAATAAACGTCGGTTAACTTCTTCGGATATAACCTATAATGTTTCATCAATTTTTTTGAAGAAATAATTTTTTTTAAAAATTGACATTCAAACAAATATGTATATTTTTTTAAATGACAATAATAATTGTTTTTTTCAATAAGCTAAAAACTTGTATGGATGTTTGTATAAATGTAAAATTTTCATTAAATCTGATTTCACTTAAGATATATTTCCCATAGCCACTCTATCTCTCCTACCCCTTGAATTATTATCACCAAAATTCAATAGCATCAAAGACCCATAAATAGAAGTATTTTTGCCAAATTTCAAAATTTTTGGTCCATAGGATTCTGAGATATAAAGAAAAGTACAGGCCAACACACACATTCATACATACAAAATTATATTCCTTTACCTTTGGTATTTTTGGAATTGGGACCTTTTAACATGAAGAAATGCCAGACAATCGAACTTTGGCTTGTTAAAACATTTTTCCTTTATAGTTGTAAGCTTATTGTGTCTAAAAAATTAATTTAATAATTATCTCAATTAACTAGTTGGTAGAGACATGAGGCTTATCAAACTATAATGGAGCAAAGTAATCAAGATCACATTGAGAAATTAAGAATTTTATTAGTGGAATGCATTTCAGTCCTCAATAGACTCTTCTCAGTCACAACAACATAAATACAAATACCTGCAATATTCAACATAATAGTAACAGGCTACATGGTTACTCTGTAACTGTTTGCACCTCCATTTGATTACAATTTCCACTCCCAGAAATTTGTAATCGTAATAAAACCAGTGTTTTTAGAAATTCAAGTTTTACTTCTTTTATTTAACTTTTTTTTAAATAAATTAACTCTATCTTTAGAATGCATCAAATCTTTTAAAATTGTAGAATAAAGTTAAAAAATATAAGTAAAAAGTATCCTTTTCTAGAATTTTAATTTCTAGAATTATAAATGTATATTAAAAATTTAATTTTAAAATTTCAACAAACTTTTTAAAGTCTAAGGCTTTGCTTTTATAATCCAAGTTGTGTGAATCTAAATTTTTAAAAGATTAATTATTTTACTTCACTGCATGGCAATATAATTCACTTGTAATGAGAAATCTGGATTAAAGATTTATCATTATAATCAGAAACTTTCATACTTTCCATTTCATTTCAAAGAACTGAAGATGCAGAAGAGAATCCTTGAAATGTTTTTTTTATTAAGAAGTTCTAGGCTTGTCTTATTCTAAGTCAATTTTTATATTAATTTAGTTTGTAAAGTAAGAAATTGTTTTGAATATGGATGTCAAATTACAATTATTATTTAAGTTTAATATGGATAAAACCTTCTGTATTCACTCCTTTATCCAAAACCACTTTTCTGTAATTTACAAATTTATTATCCTAGCACTTTTGGGATTTTTAAACCCATATAAACAGTCAAAATAAAAAAATCTCACATTCAACAATATCAGTCAAAAAGTAACAATATATCATCAGTTTAAAATATATCTATCTTCTAACACAAAACTGCCTTTTCCTAATTTATTTTTAAAAAATAACCTCTGCTCCCAACTATACGCTCCAATGGTCATTTGTATTACTTCTGCTTTGGTCCACCAGAGGTGCAGATTTCTATTATATATTTTTATGATTTCATATTTGCCTAAGTATGATTCGAGCTAAACAAAATGCATCATAAACTTTGGTGCTTGATTAAAAAAAAAAAAAAAACTAATCTGCTGCTTTGGCGACCCATCAATCCCAATTGCTCGAACGGGTTTCGTTAAATTTACAATGAGTGAATATAGTGGTGTTGTAACGCACCGTTTACAAAAACAAAAAGAGGTTACACAATAGTAGGGTTCAAGTACCAGGCCTGGACTTTCCAAATAAAAAAAACAATTGCCACCACAGATACTAATTGACAATAAATATAAGTTTTATTGACCAAAAAAAACAATGGGTTAATTGTCCCAACAGTAAGTTAAATAATTGAAAAGTAGCAACAAAAATCAAAATGATCAAAACAATTATAATTTAATAAAAAGTAAAACATCTGGATACGAGTCCAATTTTTCTTGCCATGTCTAATCACCAGGAACAACTATTTCCATTGCAGAGACAACCTTTCTTTAGAGGCTATGCCTCTGCACAAATATGTAAAACAGTTTAAAATGTCCACAGGTAAATACTGGCACAATTAAAAATATAATATTTGTTTGTAGAAAAGGGCTGGCAGAATTACAATTTAATAAAAAGTAAAAACATCCTGGTGATTAGACATGGCAAGAAAAATTGGACTGGTATCCAGATGTTTTACTTTTTATTAAATTGTAATTCTGCCAGACCTTTTCTACAAACAAATATTATATTTTTAATTGTGTTGGGATTGTCACCTGTGGACATTTTAAACTGTTTTACATATTCGTGCAGAGGCATAGCCTCTAAAGAAAGGTTGTCTCTGCAATGGAAATAGTTGTTCCTGGTGATTAGACATGGCAAGTAAACTTGGACTCGTATCCAGATGAATTTTATATTTTATTAAAATGTAATTCTGCCAGCCCATTTCTACAAACAAATATTATATTTTTAATTGTGTTGGGATTGTCACCTGTGGACATTTTAAACTGTTTTACATATTTGTGCAGAGGCATAGCCTCTAAAGAAAGGTTGTCTCTGCAATGGAAATAGTTGTTCCTGGTGATTAGACATGGCAAGAAAAATTGGACTCGAATCCAGATGTTTTACTTTTTATTAAATTGTAATTCTGCCAGCCCTTTTCTACAAAAAAACAATTATACTTATAATATCCAAATCAACAAAACTTTTATCTCCACCTCAAAAAGATTCTACAGCAAAAAGATACGATTTCCTCTAATTTATCACCGACGTCTCTACCACAGCGGTCACCTGAAGCTACCTACCTTTGTCGTGGATGTGCCGCCTTTTATTCTACCTCGAGTGCAGCTCCGCACTGTCTTAATTTACATAAGTTGTCGTTACAGGATCAGGCACTGATGCAAACTAAGTTTTCTATTTCTTTTATGGTTACTGGTGCTTAGGAGTTTGTCCTTAACTAAAAAGAACCCCGAAAAGAAAATAATTAAATAAAAATAACGCCCCAAAACATAAAATAACGATCGGACATTGACTCCTTTATAGTGTTTACTTTGTTTCTAATCAGTTCATCATTTCAATCACTTGTTACATCGCTGCCTACTCACACGATTATGTTTTCGCTGTAAAGAGGAGTCGGTCTTGGTTACAGAATCACCGTTTCGATTTTTACGGAAAACCGAAAAACACCACTAAAAAACAATATGCGTTTTTTCAAAACTTTTTTGACACTATTTAATGGGTGAAATTTCGTGTGGGCTCGAATTAAAACGAAATATTCAGTCTTTTTCCGCACGGAAAATTTTCAAATCAATAAACTGTGGTTTAAAAACTTTACTTACCCGCTGTTACTCTGTTATATATTAACAGAGGGAAAGTATAGCGATTAGTCAAAAATAAACCCCACCGAAGATCTTTATATTTTTGGACTCTGGACCTTGAATCGTCGAGGAATGCAAAAAAAATCCCGGGGTTTTTTCTGTATGCGTGTATGTGTGAGAACGATTTTGTTCACTCTATTTGAAGCCTAACAACTATGTTTTTTGTCGAAAATTTCTGAAATTTTTCAGATAGGTTTGTGTATTATGGGGATTGATTCTAATAGCTTCTACTTTACTTAATTAAGTTTACTGGTCTGGATGAGCCGGGATCAAATTAGGGTAATCGAAAGACCCCAGAAATTTTTTGCGAAGTGAGTGTACGGAGTATAGGCCTGTGCCTTACGTCTTTTCTTGCCCCCCCTTCGCCACGTGGTGGGTCCGACTCGGTGGAGAGGAGTTATGTAATTCTGGGGTGTGTAACCGTGTGTGGGAGTTTTATGGTAGGGTGTGCCTCGGGGGAGAAATGCAGAACGGAAGTGGAGAGAGAACGGGGAAGTAGGAAAGAAGAGTGGTGGTGAAAGTGAGTGAAAAAAATAAAAAGACTGTGCAAGCAAGTCCGTGGGAGATTTCAGAATTTGGAACTGTTTTTTACCCAGGGTGAAGGAGAGGAAAGGATATGACAAAACCCCATTTCTGTCGGTATGTTTCTATGTCTTCATGTTACGTGTGCTTGATCAGTTTATTGTCGGGAGATTTTTGTTAACGTTACGCGATATACTAGATTTGTCGGACTCATTATTTTTCCTGTGTCTCATCTTTGTTTTAGGAGTACTGTATGCTCCCAAGTATATTAAAGGAATATTTTGTAGAATTTGATAGTTGTCTTTGTCCAGTCCCCATCGAGTCCAGTGGATTTTCCCTGATAAGCATCTGCTCCACCAAGCACGCTTGTTATAAATTCTCCCCCTGTAGAAGCACTTACGTTTTATCGTGTTGATTCATTCTCACGCTATTTTACCCTCACAGGCCTATCTGTCAACGTTCCCTCGCCATCCTGTTCCCGCATGGTCCAGGCAGAACATTCGATGGACTTGATGAAAACGTCCTCTTAGTGCCCACGGGGTACAGAGAGTAAAAACAATGAAAAAACTTATCGGGGTTTTATTACCATACTTTAATCACTTTAATGAAGTGTAACATTTAAAAATCAAAGAATTTCTGTCAACCATTGTAATTCTGATTCATTTTTTAAACACACGAGAATGTATATAATAAAATTGACAGCATCGGTAAAATTTTTTGTCACTGGATATTTATGAGACGTAAAATTATTTCCAATTCTCCAAGAAAGCAAAATCATCAAAAATATAAAATGATTGTACAATATTTTAAAATCTATTTTTAATTAATTTCATTAATTTACACAACAATATCGTGAAATATAACAATTATTCCCTTTTATTTGTTTCATCCTTGAACAATGAGTCAAATTAAACTAGTGGGTTTTATAGAGAAGTAGAACTAATAGTTTCGTATCCATATTTTATTACTTCAGTAAAGTGTTTAAATCTACGATAAATTATTACCAGTATTTTCGCGTTCAAGTCGAAATAATTCGTCAAGTTGTGACGTGACGTAAGTTTTTGCATTCGAAACTGTAAACATTTTACTTATAACTTTTTTATTTTTGATTGTTTCCTTTCTGTGGAGCCAAAAACGCATTTTCCATACCCATATGGGGCAGCCAGGCTCACAATGGGAGCGATGGCGTGATGAAAGACGGGGTTGACATAGCTGGATTTATCACCACCACTGAAAATTCATGTAGTGTTTTCCACTGGAGGAATTTGATCTAGAGTCACCCCCAGCTTTAAGCTGACCCTATAACTGCATTTCGGTCTTAACCGTCTTTATTTGAAATTAATTTGTTATGAAATTATTTGCAATTATTTTTAAAACTATTACGTTGTTAGATGTTGTAATTTGGCATTCTTTCTATCACGTCGATTAGGTTTATGAAAGTAGGAAGAACGGAATTTTCCTCTTTAAAAAACGGAAAACAAGTGTACAATTTCAGTAAAATGCACAAAATGATACCTTTGAGAAATGTTCATGCTAAATATATTCTATTGGTGACGAATAAGAAAAACATATTTATTGTTTACGACTTTGCGTGCGAGGTTGCCGATAACAATATTAAATATCAATATTGGAAATGGTGCGACGACGAATGTTTGGAAGTGTTTGAAAAATCAAATTGTTTTAACTGTAGTGAAAACACAATCGGCATCCTCGTATTTCGTCCTATGTATAAATGAATAGATGAAGCGGACGTGTTCCATATTGTTTATAACCAGACTGAAGCGAACATAATGAAATCGGCAAATCTGAGATCAATTATGGAACCGTACTTACCAAACATCAGATTTCTAACAATACCACCGGATCGCTTTAACCGTTCTGTTTTGCCAGTTGTGAAACGAAAATTATTGGCAGATGAAGAAATTTAAGGCACAACAAAATCATTATCAACGACATCTATATCAAATCTTTCTGCTACTATTTGCAGAAATAGAGAAAAGAGAAAATACTGTATATATGAGAATCGAAGTTCCATGAAAACTGATAAAGATTCTTGCGACCAGTAACACCCGATTTCTGTGTAAAATAATTGCAGAACACAATTGCTTCGTTATTAAAATTATTTTTCCAATACGACATGCCAAACACTGCAGTTCTGTAGAAGGTACTGCAGTTATTGTGGATGATGTTAATGTTTCTAGAAAGCACTCATTTATTAATTAAAGAAAATTTTCGTGATGCCGAAGGAGGTGCAATAGGCTCATTTTGTATATATTTAGAAAAATATAAATCATACGAAATTACTGCTCGGATTAAAGAGAATCATATTATTCCAGAAAACAAAACACGAGTGATAAAGGACAGCCATTATTAAGTCCATCTGTATTTCCCTAATCTCGAGAACTGTGTTAGATAGATGAAAGACAAGACCAGATATGAAAACCTTAGGGTTGTGGTCGCAACATATGGCACGCTGAAGGCTTTTGGTGGCACGGCCTAGAGAATGACTGTTAGAACCGAAGATGAACTTTTTTACTTTTCTATTTTATTAATTAACTGATCTGTGAGTGGGTGCTTGCAAAAAGGATGACGCAAGCTCCTCTCGTTGTTATTTGAGTGGCGAGGTGTGTGGCAACCCTATGGAGGGGACTAGATAGTTTTAGTGGTCGGTAGTGTTGTTCAGTTACAAGATGTTTTATGATTTGTAGTCTTGTTTATCTACACAGTATAAATAAAAATGTAATGTCCGTTTGTTCCTAATAGCTAACCTCCGAAAGTTCTTTACCGATTGTTTTGAAATTTTCACACAACGTTCCATTCGAATACGGGCGTGTTTTTATATAATATATATGTCGCGAGTTAATAAAAAAAAATTTATTTTTTAATTAAATCTCGTAACAGCTGGCGCACATACAATTTTAACTTAGTACTAGTGCGTGTTAGTTTTTCTTAAACAAATATTTTTCGCCTGGAAAATGATGAAATATTTAGCTATAAAAGTTTGAAAATTAATTAATTCGTATTTACAATTCCATATTGTTTGTTTTTTTTTTTGACTATTGCCATATAGTTCAAGAGACATTTCTGAGAACGAAACTTCGGTTAGAGACATTAAACTTACAGGAGATGCGCTCTCTTAAAGACATTTTCTCACGATCCAACTACGTGGTAAGAGTGTGGATACTACCGCATACATTTTAATCAGAAAAATATTAGAATTATTTTTAAAGGTAATTTGATGTTTAAAGAGGAATTAATCTATAAGAATAAAAATGTAATGCTCGTTTGTTCAAAATCTTAAATCTCCGAAAGTTCTTCACCGATTGCTTTGAAATTTTGACACAACGTTGCATTCGAATTCGCGCATTTTTATATAATTTAGGTGTCAAAATTCCTCCCGCATGGGAGAGGGACAAGGATTAAAGCTTGCCCTGAAGAACTCGGCTTCTATTATACTATTTTAGATGCGGTTTTTTTGTGTTCTTGATTGCGTTTTAATAGGGTACGTCAAGAGAATGTACACTAAAAAGGGATTTTTCGATATCCCCACGCGCGGGAATGTATCTATTATACATTTATAATAGATACATTTTGAGCCACAGAAACGCGTAGCCGGGTCTGCTAGCTGTTTAAATAAAATTGTTAATGAACCTCGGTGTCTATGTTGAAGATTTAACTATTATGACAATTAGAGAAAAGTATTTGGCGGCCTGACGTAGAACGTGATTAGCCTTTACAAATATTTAATATGGAGGGCTTACGACCGGATGACCGAGCGCTCAAGATGAAGGAAAATAGAAAATTTCATGTCCATAAAAGATATGTTTGAAGAAACTTCTTAGAAAAACGTATTTCTCAAATTAAGACAAAAAAGTAACGTAAGATCGAACATCTTCGAAGGGGATCGAATTGTCAGTCGGTGTTGACTCATTCCGCAATCGGGATCTTGATCTCGTGACATTTTGTAACGGGTGGGGACCAATTAGAAAGTGGAGGTGAGTCGGAGTCGACCTATCGGAATGTTCGATCTTGGACAAAAAGGAAGGTTATAAAAATCCGAATTTGGCGGATAAAGAGAGGATTCCCTCCTGTGCTTTTGGATGTGCTACACCTGCCTCGAAAGGACTATTCTCGCTGCGAACTAAGTATCCTCTTCAAACTTCCTCACTACGCCCAGAGGCCGTCGACTCCTGCGAAAACATCTGAGAACTTTCCTCTTTGGACCTCCGTCAACAGGAATAAGGGACACAGAAGATTTGGCCTCCGCCGCCCGTTAAAAGTGTATTATTGTTGTAAGATAGTTTTTTGTTACAATAAACCGGGTTAGCTGTTGTAACTAGAGAGAGTTGTCTCTGTATTCGACACTCCCACATATGATTCGGCACCATCGGGCATTCTGCCGATAAGCGCGGTTCGACGTCCTCACGATTAAATTTCTTAAATTCTATCTACGCCGGGTGATTCTCTGGTGTCATTTTTTTCCTCGGTCACACAGTTCTATCATACGGTGTGATAGTCATATACGACAAGGCCCTCTGTTCCATTTATAAGGAGATAGCCTGATGTAGTAAGCACAGAATTCTAAGGAGTGAGAAAATTGTAGGGTTTTCGAAGAACACTACAATTTCCTCACTACTTAGAAACGAAACAGACGCCATCGAGAGAATATAGTGTCTCGGCCGAAACAACTTGAAAGGTTAGAAATATCCAAAACCTTCGTAAGAAAGATGGTAGTTAACTTCGAGGAGACAGACTCTGTTTCGCCAGGCTGGAGAGCGCATAAAAAGTTATAAGTGAAGATTTCTTCTTCCAATAGTGAGACTAGTAATATTTATCACGTCTTTCTTAAACTGTAAAAATGCGTTATACAATTTTTAATTTTAATTAATTGTTGTTTTTCTTTCCTTTTATTTGTTATATATAACCTATATTTCTCTTCCTCATATAAAGTTTCAAAATTATATTAATGAATGCACAGTAAGGTCATTTTTATATACAGAATATATATATATATTTGTGAATTTGTTAATTGGGGACAGATATTAATCAATTGTCTTTCGGGACTTTTCTGATTATGTGTAAAAAATAAATAAGACATTTATTCCAGGCTCATTATATTTCAGCCTGGTCAATAACGGAAACGAACGGGTGATGAAGGAGGTGTCCTATTTATCCGAGACAGATCATCCACAAAAAATTCCTGATTCCTGAAAGTCGATTTTCGACAATCTAGAATTTGATCCCGATTCCTCTAGAATCGTAGGCTAATTAAGACATTAGTCTACGACTCTAGGGGACTCGGCGAAGGTAAATGAAATGATAATATTTAAAATGTCGTTTTATTTTTAAATGTTATGAAAAGAATTATTACAAAATTTTAGATAACGCAGTCTTAAATTGTTTACGCAATTTATATATTATAAAATACAGTTGCTCTAAAAAGTTATTTTTTTCAAAACATTATTAAGCAGAAAATTACTCTTCACTTCTAAATAATAATGATGATTAAAGCAATTCTAACAAAATGTTTTCTAATGTTAAAAAATTTAATTAAGATGATTTTTGTAACTGATAATATCTATTTTTATATTAGTGTGTCAAATTTATTTTATTTTTTAAACTGGGAAATTACATAAAAATATTTGTAATGATGATAATCTAGACTGATAAGTAGATTAAAATTCCAAAACGATTTCAAGAGACATATATTAATTCGATTGAAAAGTTCAATTATATACATACACACATATATATAAATTAGTGACAATTCATAGAGGTGTTTTGCGCTCACCAGTGACCGAGTAAATAAAACCACTCAAATACCACTACCAACTATCAGTGGACATTAATAGTTGGTCGTGGGTTCGCGCCTGACCAATGGGCTATCCACATGGAGTTTTCTGGATTTTCTTCACGTTTATAACACTTAAATAGGGACAAGTTTTCCTCATAGAAAGTCTCCCGGGAAGCATATCTCCTCGNGTTTTGGTCATCCTAGACTTGTCCAGGCTCTTTCCAAACTGTACTCTCGATTGGTCGGTAGGGATCTGGATCCGATGAAAAATATATTGGTCACCGTCGGAGCGTCCGAAGCCATTTATTGTACCATGCAAGGATTAGTTAATCCGGACGACGAGGTAATAATCATAGAACCTTTCTTCGACTGCTACGAGTCCATGACGAGACTTGCGGGAGGAGTGCCGGTTTTTATTCCGCTGAAATGTAATAAAAAAGAAGGGCCAAATTATAGTAGCGATTTGATATTGGACTTTAAAGAATTAGAATCAAAATTTACAAATAAGACTAAATTAATTATTGTTAATACGCCCCACAATCCTCTTGGCAAGATATTTTCGAGATCAGAACTAGAAATGATTGCGGATCTTTGTAAAAGATATAACGTGATTGCCATAATGGACGAAGTGTACGAATGGATCGTTTACAGGGGACATGAACACGTTCGTATGGCTACTCTTCCCGACATGTGGGAAAGAACTATTACCATTGGTAGTGCTGGTAAAACTTTTAGCGTAACTGGATGGAAATTAGGATGGGCTTACGGTCCCGAAAATTTAATGAAAGCTTTAAGTTTATTACATCAGAATGTCGTATACACCTGTCCAACTCCCATTCAGGAGGCGGTGGCTGTTGGATTTGAAAATGAAATTGAACGGTTAGGAACGCCAAATAGTTATTGGAAAGAACTTTCTGATATGTTGGAAGAAAAGCGTGATAAAATGGCAAAATTTCTCTCTTCTTCGGATATAGTACCTACAATTCCTGACGGTGGATATTTTATGATTGCGGATTTCTCAAAACTTGGTTCAAAAATTTCTATAGACGAAGATAAAGGTACTAAAGATTATAAATTTGTAAAATGGTTATCAAAAACTAAAAAGTTGCAGGGTATACCACCAAGTGCCTTCTATTGTGAAGAGCATAGATATTTAGCTGAAGATTATATACGATTCTGTTTTATAAAAGATGATAGCACTTTAGAAAAAGCTGAAAGTATCTTAAAATCGTTAAACGATTCAATTGATAAATAAGTTTAAGTTATCTATTGAATTTTTTATTTCAGTTGATATCTCTGAAAATATATTATCAGGTCAAGAAATATATATTATAAATTTTTAGACTGGCAAAACTCAGAAAAACTTATTGGTACATAAGTTCATCTCTAAGTTATTTTAAAATCCAATAATAATAGGATTTTAAAATAATCCTATTAGAAATTGATATACATAAAAAGTTAATAACAATCTGAAACTGAATTAATGACAATGTTGTTTATGAATTTCTGACTATATTTTTGAGATATGTTGAAAAAATTTTTCGTAATTTTTAGATTTTAAGAATATTATAACACAAACTTTGGTTATAAATGTATTCCTACTTATATTTTGTTTATTACAGTAGAGCGTCGTTTATCCGAAACGTCAGTTATCCGAAAGAATTCCAGTGGGCAAATTTAAATTTTTGCTAGTGCTGTAGCGCTGCAATCTTTGGCTATATCTTGGGCTACTCCAATATTTTTTTTGTTGATGCTTGTGTTTTAGCTGGCAGCACTGGCACTGTTGTGTGGTGTTTTTCTGTGGGTTGTGTGTCATGCTGAATCGAACGTTTTTGATACTAGATTAACTTCTAAAGTATATATTTTCTTTTGTTTTTATATTTCGCAATATATCTATTTTGTTTGTAAAAGTAAAAAAATAATTTTTAACGATACAATAGCCACGATCGATTGTTATTTTAAAAAGTTTACATTGGGCTTAACATCGACGAAAATTCAACGCGAAGCGACACGCAACGGAGAAAAATTTCAACATGGGATAGGTTAATATATTTTTTGTACGTAATCGGTTATCCGAACAACCCTAGTCCCCAATTGATTCGGATAAACGACGCTCTACTGTAATACTATATTCATAATTTTACTTTAATCAGAAGTTTTGTTTTGAAATTGTTGCTGCAAAAACAATGTTTCTGAAACATAAAATTTGAAGGCTTTTGTTTCAGATTAATTGAATAATTAAATAATAAAAGGTAATAATGATTATTTAATTGTAGTTATTAAAATTATGAGCTATGTATTACAATCTGGAAGTTAATTTGTTGATTGGCAATTTTGATATCAAATTAAAATTTTTCTGATACGAATGATTGTTTATAATTATTGAGAGGAATATTATTTTTTTAATGTAACAACTGTTTGTAACATGGAAGTCTCTAACATTTCAAATTTAATGTTTATTTTACAGCTACTAATTGTCTTTGATTACAATAAATTTATCTGGTTNTCCTATTAGAAATTGATATACATAAAAAGTTAATAACAATCTGAAACTGAATTAATGACAATGTTGTTTATGAATTTCTGACTATATTTTTGAGATATGTTGAAAAAATTTTTCGTAATTTTTAGATTTTAAGAATATTATAACACAAACTTTGGTTATAAATGTATTCCTACTTATATTTTGTTTATTACAGTAGAGCGTCGTTTATCCGAAACGTCAGTTATCCGAAAGAATTCCAGTGGGCAAATTTAAATTTTTGCTAGTGCTGTAGCGCTGCAATCTTTGGCTATATCTTGGGCTACTCCAATATTTTTTTTGTTGATGCTTGTGTTTTAGCTGGCAGCACTGGCACTGTTGTGTGGTGTTTTTCTGTGGGTTGTGTGTCATGCTGAATCGAACGTTTTTGATACTAGATTAACTTCTAAAGTATATATTTTCTTTTGTTTTTATATTTCGCAATATATCTATTTTGTTTGTAAAAGTAAAAAAATAATTTTTAACGATACAATAGCCACGATCGATTGTTATTTTAAAAAGTTTACATTGGGCTTAACATCGACGAAAATTCAACGCGAAGCGACACGCAACGGAGAAAAATTTCAACATGGGATAGGTTAATATATTTTTTGTACGTAATCGGTTATCCGAACAACCCTAGTCCCCAATTGATTCGGATAAACGACGCTCTACTGTAATACTATATTCATAATTTTACTTTAATCAGAAGTTTTGTTTTGAAATTGTTGCTGCAAAAACAATGTTTCTGAAACATAAAATTTGAAGGCTTTTGTTTCAGATTAATTGAATAATTAAATAATAAAAGGTAATAATGATTATTTAATTGTAGTTATTAAAATTATGAGCTATGTATTACAATCTGGAAGTTAATTTGTTGATTGGCAATTTTGATATCAAATTAAAATTTTTCTGATACGAATGATTGTTTATAATTATTGAGAGGAATATTATTTTTTTAATGTAACAACTGTTTGTAACATGGAAGTCTCTAACATTTCAAATTTAATGTTTATTTTACAGCTACTAATTGTCTTTGATTACAATAAATTTATCTGGTTTCTGTTTGGATTATAGCAATACTTTGAAGTTTCCAAAATAATAACAATGAGCAATTATTTAAGTCATTAATTATCAAATATAAATTTTTACTAGTTGGAAAAAAGTTAATAATGAAAGCAATATGTGTTGCTTTTAATTGAACAATTTTAGAAAGAAAGCTGGAAGAAAACATTTTTGATAGGTTGGTGATACATAACCCCTGGTTAAAAGTATGGAATAATATTACAAATTCCTCCATCACATTTCAAAGGCATGTTTTAAAAAATATTTAATATTTGCTTATCGATTGCTTTTGCAAATTTTGAGTTGATATATTTGCATAAACCTGTGCTAAAATGAAATTGGTTTTATGCATTATAAAAGAAAATATTCATTTACTAATCAAGAGTAGACACAAAAATATGTAGTAGTAGCATAACAGGGACAAAACTTTAGAATATGATGGGCATGTTCCATATTAAAATTTAGTGACACTGTTATCATGTAATATTACACTTGAAATTAAATCTGCAGAACTGTAATTGCACTTAATGTTTGCATTCTAAAACTAAGCCAAAAACACCAGAATTGAGTGAGGGAAAGACAGTTGATAATTCCATATTACACACATGGTGAAAAGCAGCAGATAATTATTACAAAACATGTACAATGCACAAAAATTTCAGTGTCTAAAATTATAGCTAAATATAAAGCAACTATATATGTCTCAACATAGATATGGATACCCCTGCATAACTATGGCNTATTACCATTTTTGTATGATTTTGTTTATTTTAGTTTATTAAATTTTTCGTTATTTGTTAAAGAAATGTCTCTTGATAATTCTCTGAATCAAATCCATATCATATTCATCCGCGTGTAAAATAACTGATTAACTGGTGTCAGGTTCCTGACGTAGATCTAGAATATGGATACCCCTGCATAACTATGGCATGATATGACAGAAATCTGATCAAATTTATTAAAGGAGGAAGATTTAAGTCATCCAGAGACAAATGCTGAATGGAAAGAAACTGGTATAGGTGTATCTGAAAAACAACTCTCAGAAGGTTACGTGAACATGGTTGCATATCAAGAAAAGCAAAGCAGAAACCATATCTGACTGAGAAGANATCAAATTTATTAAAGGAGGAAGATTTAAGTCATCCAGAGACAAATGCTGAATGGAAAGAAACTGGTATAGGTGTATCTGAAAAACAACTCTCAGAAGGTTACGTGAACATGGTTGCATATCAAGAAAAGCAAAGCAGAAACCATATCTGACTGAGAAGAATAAGAAACTATGTATGCAGTGGGCAAAAGCCTACTATAATTGGAATTTGATGCATTGGAAACAAGTTATGTTCACCAACAAATTACTCACTTGCATGGGATATGGAGATAACAATGGTAGCAAATAAATCAATAAATGCTTACTGGAATTAATTAAATAAAATCAACAAACACCTTTCCTTTCACCACCTTTCTATTCCAGCGCAACGTTTAATACGTTAAAAACGTTTTTGACCGTTTTAAGCGATCTTCTTCAGTTCAAATCCGAACCATATAACGAACAAAATATTCGAAATAATACAAAAATTTCAAGTACTTACTCACAACTTAACGTTAAAGCGCATGCCCGTACTCATAAAATGAATAGATTAAACCAAAATAATTAAAAAATAAACAAAAATTATATATCAAGAAATATTATAAAAACAATTAATAACGCCGCCTACGCGGTTGCAACAGTTAATCTATCTTATCATAAAAGGACTTCCAGGCTGTTGATAAACCTTCAGCATCCCTGTGATTGATGCACTGCGTGGTCATATGCGCCTTGTGTAGCTCAACTTTTTCCAGGTGTTTCACCGCTTGCGTTGATCTTGTAGGTCTAATGATCGCTGCCTGATCCCAGTATACTGCAATTCCTCGCTGCTTCGCAAATGCTGCGAGGACTGTACTATCAACGCTTCTATTCACTGAGTATTTGTACTAATCAATCCTTTTCTTCAGGTTCCGCATTGTTGCTACTATATACAGTAGACCCCCTATAACGCTTAGATACGTTCCACGCTAACCGAAAATTACGTTGTAGGAATGATTAAATACATGAGCCAATCGCAGCCCGATAGGTGTGAACTTTACGGACTAAGGCTGTTTGAAAGGTTTTCTTCTATAAAATTAACCGATTCTAGACTAATTCCACTCAACATTTCCAAAACACGTATAATTTTTTGGGAATAATCCGTATAAACTACGCTATAAACAAAAAATTATAGGATTACTTACCGAGTGTGTACCGTTCGACTACGCCGTTGCTTAAAGCTGGTTTTCATCGCGGAACAGCACACGAAACGACGGCCGCAATTTCTGATAACGAATTTTTGGCAGAAAAATAACTTGACCTTTGGAGACATCATTAATATAAATAATTTTTATGGCCGTTGAATAAGAAGTGTTTCTTTCACAAGAAATGTATAAAATTAGTGCTGTATTAGACTTACGGTACCTAATTTACATACTGTACAGACGATAATAAACTCAACTTACTAGCCTAAAATCTCCGTAGCGTGTTGCCAGGCGGCAGAAAGCATATATATAATTATAATAAAGTTACAATAAATTAAGTTAATATATAATTATATATACAGTACCTAATTTATATATAATTAATATATAATTATATGTACAGTACCTAATTTATATATAATTTATATATAATACTAAACAGACGATAGCAAACTCAATTTAGCCGCTCCGTAGCGTGGCGCAGGGTCGGAGGAAAGTAGTTCGGCTGCTCATCCACTATTGGTCCAGACTCTATCAATCTTGTCGCGAAACGACGTTATAGGAGGTACGTTATACGAAAGTTTCTACAATTTTTTCGCTACGTTATAGGAATTGTCGTTATAGGAACGTACGTTATAGGGGGGTCGACTGTATATTAGGTCGGAGTTAAATCTGAGATAAATGGTAGCAAAGTTTGGAGAAAATCCAGTGCAAAGTTTCTATCTATCTTTCAATTTAAACCCTTCTTTCAAAAACAAAATTTGCCATAACTACAGCAGGATATTTGGAAATTGTCAACATTACAGTGAATGCAAAGATATACTTGGAAATTTTAGACAATTTTG